ACAACTCATCAGGTGTCTCCCCTGGGCCAAGCTCTGTCCCCATTGGAGGCTGCACAGTGAACGGGGACAGGCAGGTTCTTGACCTCACAGGGCTTAACTTTCTGGTTAAATGAAAAATGGAAAAATAAATAAATGATGAATCATTTTAATGAAGTAAACAACAGCTATGAGTTGGAATACCTGTCGAGTGTTAGTTATCACATTGCAGCGGCTCAAAACGCAACAGCAATTTATTATCCCACGGTTTTGGTGGTTCGGGAAGTTGGGGATGGTTAGCCCGGTGCTCTTGGCTTGCGGACTCTTGAAGGGTAGCATCAGGTGGCTCGACCGCAACTGGAGGATCTGCTCTCCGGCTTGCTCACGTGGACTGGCAAGTAGGTGCTGGCTGTGGGCAGGAGGCCTCTGCTCTTCCCCTGGTGGCCCTCTCCGTGGGATGGCACGGGGTCCTTACACCATGGCTGGCTCTCTGCAGAGTCAGCGATCCAAGGGAACAGAGCACAGTTAGGGGGCGATGTCGTCCATGGCCCGCCGTTTCAGCTTTCACAGCCGTTCCCCCAGGTCACACTCATCAGACCTCGTGGGTCTTGAAGTGTCTTCTCCAGAGCATGGGTGGCAGGAGGCCAGGGTCACTGAGGGCCATTTGGGAGGATGGGGCTACAGTTATGAGGTTACCGTAAATGAAATCTCCCGTCAGGAAATGGTGAGTAGTCCTTCCAAGCCATTCATTGATCACAGGCCACCGGCAGTCACCTGGCTCTCAATGTACTGGGTTATCTGCAGCATTATTTCAAGTGACCTGCCCTGCCGCGCCAGGGGAACCGCGGACTCTGGTTCTTACTTAGGGGCCACGTCCAGTATTTGTCTGTCTTTTCTATCATTGCTTTGATCCTCCCAAAGGGAGAGGCTCAGAGGGGAGAGAATTCCTCAGAACTGTTAGTAAGGCCAGACCCTGGGACAGGGTCATCTTGAGAAGATGGGTCATCCAGTGGAAGTCTTCAGCCTTGTCCAGCCTCCTGTGTGGCCTCTCAGACCTGAGACCCCTAGTCCCAAACGATGTGGCTGCCCCAGAAGTGACATCACCCAAACTGCAGTGGTTGGAGAAGACTGAGCCAAACCGGGCCAACGGATCCTTTCTCTGGAACTGACAGGCTTGAGGGGAGTCCTCTGGTTGGGAAGAGCCACACGGGCTCCTGGCAACAGCTGGCCACCATGTTTCCTGCCATGACTACCATGAGGGGACGGCCAGTCCACTCTAAGGAAGCTTAAAGCCCCRTCACCCCCACCAATGAGCTGGTGGGTCCAGAAGGGCTCACATCCCTGGGCCCAGCTGCAGTCCTTCTCCTTAGTTTGGTTTTTCAACTCGTCCTTGGGTCCGGGGAGCCCAGAGATGACAGTTTTGCGTGAACCAGGTGAGGGTGGGCTCTTTTCACCGACACCCAAACCCCGTGGTGGCGGGATGAGTCCTGGCTGTGAGCGAGGACAGGGAAGTGCTCTGGGGAGCAGAACRGAACAGGCTAGGCAGGACTGAGCTCAGGAGGAGGATGAGGCAGACAGGAGGCGGACCGACAGCTTCTCGCCTCCCCCAGAGAGGTGCCGCGCCTGCCTCCAGCCAGGACCTGGTTCACAAGCTGGGAACCGTGGGACTGTCAGGAAGACCTGGGTCACCTTGGGGCCCCTTCTGCCATTCTCAGTCTCTACCCGGTGTGGACAGGGATCTGCTCTTCCCTTCCTTCTCTGGTCCCATCCCATCTGTGGCCCTGCGGTGGGCCAGTGACTCCCGCTGACCCAACCCAAGAGGGCTGCTCAGCCGGAAGCCATTGATGAGAGGACAGCTGCCTGGGTGGGCACAGCTTTGGGGCTGTCCAGGCCCATCAGACCCTTGGCCTCTGGTGGACTCCCTTTCCTGCCGTGCCTCTGCATGCTAGCTGGGAGGCAGAGAGGAAGCAAGATCAGTGTCCACCCACCTTGAACCTGCCAGTCAGGTCCCGGCAGGAAACAGGTGCCCACGGGTACGTGAGTGCAGGAGTTTGGCAAGGTTTATGGAGTGCTCTCGGGGTAGGAAATCAGTGGCAGCTGATGCCCTGCCACCTCTCCACCTGCAGGGATAAGAGAAGGGACCAACACAGAAGAGGCAGACCTGCAGGAGCTGGGTCTCAGAAGAGGGATACTGGGACCTGCGGTGCTAGGCAGGGAAGGGACAGAAAACTGCCCAGTGTCACTCTGGGTAGGAAGGGATGGGGGTGGGGCTCAGAGTGGCTGTGACAGTCAGCACAGACAGCACKCTGGGGCCAGCGTGGGTGGACCCATGGGGAGCCATGCTGCTGACCAGGCACGTCACTGCCCCTGCCTCTCAGACACTGGAAAAGCTGACCACATCGACAGTTACAGAAGCCCGGGTGGCGAGGCCTCAAGGCATCTCTGACTTCATCTTCCTGCCAAGGCAGGAGAGGGTCTCTGGGGAGAAGGAGGGCACCAGGCCAGTCAGGGCCAAGCAGCATCCCGCGGCAGCTTCTGCTCTCTAAAGCAGTGTGGCTCCTTTGGTCGCATGGCAAGTCCTAAAGATCATCTGGGGAAAAGCATCCCCACCACCGGGACCTGTTTTCTGTCSTGTTCTCTGAGATGGATGATGCAGTAAGCGCTGACCGTGGGTGGAATGCCGGGCGGTGGTCTGCGCTGCCCACGGACTCCGTGCTCTGGCAGGCAGAGACCCATGAGTAGTCCTGTGTGCCCCAGGCTCAGGGGAGCCCTTCTCTCCTTGCATCGGGGCAGCACCTGCTCCCCAAGGCCATCYGTCCATGTGTCAGCACGAGTCACAGCCCACGGAAGCCCACTGCGCCCTACCATGGTTGGCACCTGAGTGTATCTGAGGAGAGGTGCCCTCCRAGGGCTTTGAGCTCTGGGCAGGGGCAGGGAGCCAGATGGGCAGGAGAGCAAGAGGAGTATGGGCATCCCTCTTTGGGGAGGGACAAGGCCAGCCTCCTGCTCTGGTGGGAAGGGCCTCTGGTGCAGATGGGGTTCGGCAACGGTCCTCGCRTTGGATCCACCTCTTTCTTTGAAGGCCTCCTTGGCTGCTGTTTCCTGAGCCAGATCTGATGCTAAAGTTCTGGCATCACAAGCTCYTACTTGGTCTCAGCCTCATGTCGTGGGATCTGCCTTGAGCTCAGCCCGTCCAGCTCAGCTGCCAGGGGCCTTCTCTCAGGACTTGACCCCCATGAGCCCCGGACCCCCTGCGGGTCACTGTGAAGATGTGGCCTGTCGCTCCAGGTGACTTGATCAGTGTGGAAACCTCAGGGGGAGGCCTTCTGCCGGTTCCTGCTTCCCAACACTAATGCTCAGAGGGTGGTAGTCCGACGTGGACTCCTCAAAGAAAGGTCTTTTGATCCTGGGCTGGGGAGGTCTGTCCCCGTGTGTTCCCGGCTGCCTCCCTGCAGAGCCATGAGCCCATCTGGCCTCCACTGGGAGGTGGCTGACCTGAAAGTGACGTGATTGTTTTCTTAGCGTGGGTTTCAGTACCCAGAGTAATAACATTTTCAGCTGGTTATTGAGGCTGATCAGTGATCCCAGGCCTCCATTGGGTTAAATAGAACCGCCTCCACAGAAGCATTTTGGAGCAGTGCGAATCCAGTGTTCTGGGTGGGTGGAGGTACCCTAAGCAGTGGTTGGCCACTTGCCAGGAGCCTGGGCCTGCAAAGCAACCTGGCTATGTTCCCACATGCCTGGCCACCAGGYTGGACATTCAGGGGCAGCAGGACACTGGTGCTTCTCTGCTATCCCTGGARAAGGGCAGTCAGTAACTGCAGAACGCTCGGCCCTTCAGACAGGAAGGAATTGCTTAGCAGCTCTGTTGGATTTGAACCAGTTGTTTGGCCTCTTGGCCCCTCAGTGTCTCTGACATCAATTAGGAAGAGTCATGCTGGTTGTCAGTACTACATGTGTGTGTCCGTGTGTGTGTGTGTGTGTGTGTGTGTGTGTGTGTGTGTGTGCAGGCACATGAGCATAAAGAAAGATACAGGAAAGAGTCAAGAGGAAGAGCCACCTTCTCTCCATTAAACATCCCAAGAAGTCACCACTCAGATCAAATCATCAGGAAAGCCGCTGTCTCTCACAATCGTCTTGATGGAGAGGAGGTGTGGCCCTGGAGAGAGGCTGTGACTGGATGGTTCAGTAGGAGTGAGGGGACAGCAGGCAGGGCCTCCCCTCCCCTGCTGGTGCCAGCTGTGTGACCTGGGGCAAGTCCTTTGCTTCTCTGAGCCTTCGTGCCCAGCCCTGTAAAATGAGGGGTTGGATTCCTCTGGAACCAGCATCCACAGTCCCAGGGTGCAGATGGTTGTGGGGTTTGCATTTCTCATTGGGGATTGGGGACCCTTGGCTCTCTCAGAATGGGAGTGGGCCTGGATCCCCCTGGATCTTCCAAGTGCCACCTTCCCTTTCCCTTTGTCCAGGAGTGCCCCTGGCTGGCCTGGGAGAAGTCAGACCCTGGGCCCTGAACTGTGAGGTTGCCTTGAACCTCACACAGGTGCCACAGGTGCCGACCCTCTGCACTTGAGACAGCTGAGCACACTGTCCAGGCACGTGACTCATGAGGTCTGAGTGGCCTGGGGCAGCCTTTCTGTGGGCTCCAGTTGGGTGGCCCATTGTTTTCCAGTGGTTGCCTTTGATTCATCTGAATTGGCGCTCCTCAACCCCAGCTTCCAGGTGCTGCCCTCCTGGCCACCAGAGGGTCTGTCCTGYTGCTCTGGGTCCCAGTGTTTGTCCATCTCTGGTGGGCAGCCTGCATGGAGAGTGCTGCTCTTAGAGCCAGCGTCCTGGGAGAGTGTGGAGAAATCTGGACTAGACATTGGGCTGCTCGACCAGGTCTGCCCTGCTCTCTGGACCTCAGTTTCCTGCCCTGTAGAAGAAGATTGGTCAGTGGCCTCCGGGGGTCTTCTCCGGGGCTCCAAGATTCTCTAACTAAAGGAGCTCACGGGCAAATCTTCTATCTTTTTCTCCTTCTGTTTCAGGCAGAATACGAAGTTACACCAGATGAAAAGCTGGGAGAGAAAGGGAAGGAAATTATGACCAAGTACCTCACCCCAAAGGTAAGAGGCCTCCAGACCCTGCAGCAGGAGGAACCGGAGGCCCCCTCCAGGAAATGGGCCCCAGGTCCCTGCCAGGCCACTTGGGGGCACCATGAAGTGCAGGGCCAGGGGCTTCCATGGTCTCCAGAGAGCTGGGTTCTCGTCCTTAACCAGAGGGCACCCCCAGCCCAGCAGCAAGAGGCGGGGGTCCAGGCCAGGCTGTGTCAGGGAGGAAGCCTGCTCACTGAGTGAGTCCCTTCCGTGGGTCCTCCCGCTGCCTACACTGTGTGTTTGGGGCAGGAGGGGAAGAGCCCTGGCTGAACTGGAAGTGCCTGGAAGAAAAGGCTCACCAGGGGCAGCTCCCAGAGGTCAGAGAGGGCCAGGAGGGATCCAGAAGGCGAGCACAGCCCCGGGTCTGGACGGTCACAGGGCACACAGGAGAATGCGGAGAGTTCCGAGTGTGTTCTGGAGATGATGGAGGGTGAGGGGCCACCCCCTCCCCACCTTAGTGCCCACTGGATGGTTGAAGGAGCCAGGTGGAGCCACCCCTCRGGTCCTGGCAAACTGGGTGCTCTGGGACCTGCCACCTTCGACCCGCATGACGGAGAAGTCTGTTCTTGGCCCATTTAGTGTTCTGCTCATTTTCCCTCGCTGGGCCTCAGTTTCCCTTCTTAAAAAGTCGCGCCCCTGCCAAACCCGCCTCGTGAGGCAGTGACAGCYAGGGACAAGACCTGCCTGTGAACAGCTCTGGGCATTCCCAGGGCCCACAGTGGCTTCCTCCTGCTCAGGGCCCTGATGTCATGGGCACCAGCCCCTCAGAGGGTGGTCCTCTGGGAAGCCGCCCCGGCTCCTGGTGGACCGAGGCTGGCACAGCCCACAGGACCAGGACCTGTCCAGGGAATGCAGTAGGTAGTGGCTGTCTCGCTTCCCTCATGAGCCAGGCTCACGCCCAGCAGTGTGGCTCCCGTTGGGCCCTGCTGCTCACTGGCCTACTGAAGGCCACCGCACACACGTGCACACAGTGGCTGTCAGTCTCTCTGTCATAATCATACCCTTCTCCCTCTGGGAGCTGTGCACACCCCAGTCCTTTTGCAAAGTTTGGATGTGACAGGATTAATGTTTGTGAAATGCTTCAGACTCAGAACAGGCCCAGCTCACTCCGGCCGAGACATGGCCTGGGCAGATGTGGCTGCCCGCTCCTTCTGCTGGGCCACTGGGCAGCGTTGCCTTGCCCGCTTCCACACACAGGCCTGTTGGAGTCTGTGAGGGTCCCAGGTGTAGGAGGTCAGGAGAAGTCATTCTGAGCGGGGGCCCTGCTCACCCACAATTGCAGCCAGTGACTTATCCATGGGGCTGCAGGGAGGTGCATGTTTGGTCTCTTGGTCACCACTGAAAACACTGTGAACACTATAAAAAGGGACCCAAGTCCAGAGGAGGTGCCACCCTGAGGGCAGGAAGTGCCCCAGAARGATGAGAAGAATAGTAGCTCCCTGGCTACTATGAAGGGGTCAGGCACCTCCGAGATGGTACTGCTGGTGGTGCCAGTGTCCTTGTCCCATTCACAAGGCTGCCAGGCCCCAGAGAGGCAAGTCACTTGCTAGGCTGCATCTTCACCTGCCCTCTGCCAGATGCCTTCTTGCTGCGGCTCTGCTGGGCCCTTCCAGCTCTCCTTCCATACCTTCTTTGAGGCTGTGTCCCCAGAAACAGTGATGACTAACAGGAGCTGAGGACCTGCTGTCCGAGTCCTTGCAGTTGCTGCAGACGCTCCTCTTACCGCTGAGGATGAGGCTGCTCCACAGAGCTGTCACCTGCCAGGTCACAGCTAGTGGCAGAGCCAGACTTGTACCCACCTCTGGGTGATGCTGGGACCCCAGGCCTTTCCCCTGGGRTGTGCAGCTTCCTGCCATCTGGTGGGGTGGGGTGGGGTGGGGTGCTCCCTCCACCCAGCCTTGCCTGACTGTGCTCCCCTTGTGCAGCTGGAGTAGACGCTGGCAGCCTGTCCAAGGGGAGGATGTAGGCAGGTGCCAGGGCTTCCCTCTCGCCCTCCTGGCCCACCTCATCCAGAGGCCTCTGCCAGCAGACCCTGATCCGGGCCCTCCAGCCCTCCCTACCTCTGCTCAGAGCAGTCTCGACTCCTGGAGGCATGGGGCCCAGACGCCCCATCAGCTCAGATGGTTTTACAAGTGCCTCTGTGCCTGCCAACATTTTTCCTTAAGTACTCCTCCATTTTTGAAATTTAAACCACACCATCTGTTACAGCCCAGGGGCCTGGGGAGGCCATCTCTTGGGTCGACTGCTTTTCTTCAATAAATTCTGCACCRTGCCCCCAGCCTTCCACCAGGAGCTCAAGAGCCCACTTTACTTCTCAGGGCTGCAGAAGCCCCAGGTGCCGGAGCAAGGGACCCACTGAGGAGCTGAGCTAGTGGCTCATGCCCCTGTCAACCCCCAGAGCCACTGTCCCCCAAATCCAGATGATCCTTGCCTGGGGGCCTTCCTAAGATGCAGCTCACATGTCAGCTCCAGGCAGCGTTTTCAGATGTAGCTGTAGGACACTGACCAGAGGCCCTGGGGTCAGCACAGTGTGGGCCGCCATCTCACGAGCGCATGAGCACATCGAAAGCTCAAGAAGTCCTGCTATGAGGAAAACTACTTATGCTAACAAAGCATTTCCCAAACTTATTTGACCACAAAACTCCCCYCACCCCCACCCACCCCCTCAGCATTCTGCTGGACACCCTGGGGCTGCGGAAGTCTTCTTGGGGCCTTTGTGACCATACCTCCTCCTGCTCCTACTTCCTTTTTCTTGTGGTCACTCCTACAGCCCCCACTGGGCTCCAGCCACATCACCCAAATGTTTTTTTTTTTTTTTTCTTTTTTGGTCCTGGGGATTGATCCCAGGGGTACTTTATGCTTAGCCACGTCCCCAGTGCTTTTCATTTTTGAGAAAAGGTCTTGCCAAGTTGCTGAGGCTGGCCTTGAACATGTCATCTTCCTGCCTCAGCCTCCTGAGTTACAGAGGTACAGGCATGCATCACCACACCTGGCTCTCAGTCTCCTCTTGATATCCACGTCTTCTTGGTCTTTGTCCTGGAAGGTGCTGCTTCCTGCTGGGTCTTTGTCACTTCTGTTTCTGTGTCTGCCTTGCCCAGACCCCTCCAATGCACAGGGCTCTTCTGTCTCCAGTCAAAATCCATCCTTCCGACCCGGTGGTCTCTGAGCACATGCTCCTTGTGTTCCTTGTTCCAAGGTGGGGGTTCTGAGCAGCCCACCTTACAGAARAGGGACAAACATAAACAGATCAGTTGAATGCAGTGTGTCTGGAGTCGTGCTCTGTGCTGGGAGGGGGGTCCTGAGAAGCCACCCCTACCCCAGCCTGGGCGAGCCAGCAGAGGCCCCTGGGAGATGAAGATGCTGTTGTGGATTTGAAAGAAGGCGGCAGAGGAAACCAGGTACAAAAGGAGGGAAAGAACCTTTCAGAAGCAAAGGCAGAGAGCAGTGGTCTGGACTTGGCCCCAGAGGACACGTGGTAATGTCTTGGGACATTGGAGTTGGTGTTCGGGGAGGCATGACTAGCATCAAACAGGTGCAGCCAGGGCTACTTTTGTGCATCCTGCACACACCCGCAGCCCCCACCTCGAAGAATGGGGCCACGGCGGACCAGCCACAGCACAAGGCCGAGCGCCCTTGGTGCAGAGTAGCTCAGGGTGCRGATGGTCACCGGGGTAGGAGCGAAAGGTAGGGGTGGTCCTCGGGGCTGCAGGGCTCAGGAAACCATGCCGAAGAGGTTGACGTCAGGAGGTTGACCAAGGCCTTGAATGGAGGAGTATGAGGGGAGGCGGAAGGACAGGAAGCAGAGGCCATCTGGGAGTTGCTGCAGGAGCCATGAGGGGGCCAGAGGAGCAGTGGGGGTAGGGCTTCGAGAATGTTAAGAGAAAAGTGACAGCCAGGTGTGGGCCTGAAGGAACTGCAGATGACCTCCTGGTTTGTCTTGAGTCTCTGAGTGGGTGGTGACCCCAGGCAAGGAGCACAGGATAGGGTCATTGCTGCAGAGGCGGGTTATCAGTCCATTAGCAGAGATGATTATCTGCTTGCGTTCCCTGCTGGGCATCTTCCCAGAGCAAGTTGGTTCSGGTGGAACTGGGAAGCCCTGGGAAGCTTCCCTTCACGGCACTCACCTCTCCTGCCTCATGTCTCTGGGGAACTGGCTCCTGTCCCTCAATGACTGACACTGAGTATTTGCCAGAAGCCAGGATGGAAAGTCCCTGCTCCAAGGAGATGCTCACGCCTGGAGCCACAGTCCTCTCCCTGTGGCAGGGCACTCTGCAAAGCCTYGCTCAAACTTCCATCCCCAGAGGCAAAGCCCACTCCTTGGACGCTGCCCCAAATCCTGCAGCAGTTGCCCACACAAGGCCAGCTCTGCTCTGGTGGCCATTATAGGACATGAGGCAGGGGTGGGCTTTGGGACTGGCTGGAAAACGAAGGATCTAACTGAGAGGCAGCAGAGAGATGCAACCTCTTTTAGCAGCACAGCCTCAGGAAGGTCACTGAGCTTCTTGGTCCTCTTCTGTGAGTGGGCGGGGTGGTCGTGCCACAGGACAACCGGAGAGGGCAACATGCTGCTGATGCATCCTAGACACCTGGCTGGGGTCCTCTGCCTTCCCCTTCCTTCTTTGAGCTTTCAAAATCAGGCTGTTGAGTGAGGAAATTATCAGACGTGCAACTCCCAGCTATGGAGCTGAGAGGCCAGGGAGGGTCTGGAGGCCCCAGCCACAGAGGGCGCCACGGCAAGGCTGGACCCATTAACATGCAGTGTGTTGTCGAGATGATTAATGCAAGCTGCCACAACAAACCCACCCCAAATCTCAGGGGCCTCGAACAACAAAGGTTTCTTTCTTTCTCACGCATAATCCGATTGGGTCATCTCTCTCTCGGGAGCTTCTCCATGGGTGATGCAGGGATCCTGACCACTTTTGTGGCTCCTCCATCTTGGACGTGTTGTCTCATGGCCACCGCCCAAGAGG